TGCGAGAAGTCCGTTAATCGTTAATCCAATGCCTACTATTTACCGCACGGCACAGCTTTAGCCAATGCCTTATTAAACGGCATAGAGAAAAGATTTGGACTACTCCTGAATGATGAACAGTGCCAACTTGCCGCGGCATTTCACCCAAAGTTTCGGTTAATGTGGCTGGAAACGTATGACAGCAGTAGAGAGGAATGCAGAAACTATAAACTATTGGACAAAAAATTAATTTTTTTTGAAAAAAAAATGTTTTCTTTATTTTGACATATTTTGGAAAATCTGAACTTTTTTTCAAAGCAATTTTACTGCTTTAGGACTGCATAGAGACAAAATATAAAGCGCGTAAGCGCCGCGTCGCTGTCTAAAGGATAAACATTCGTACGGAACCCATAGGAATGTAAATAAAATTTATACTTATTGTTAAAATCTCTATAAAATATCTGATAATTTGATGTGCATATGTCTAATGATCATTTTGACCGCCAAATGGCATTTTTTTTTACTTTTTTCATTAGATCTCCCAAACCGCTAGACCTGCCTTCATGAAAAATTGATCAGTTCTTCATAATTGTCAATACAAGTAAAATGTTTTTTGAATTATTAAAATCGAACGCTCCGTTCTCTTAAAAACTGAGTTACCGTTTTTGGCTCAATTTTGCCCCATATCTTCGGAACGGCTAGACCTGCCTTTGCCAAAAACTAATCAGCACGTCTTCTTATCAATACGAATCGAATGTTTTTTGAATTATTCAAATCGGTTGATCCGTGTTCCCGAAATCGTCGACGAAAATTTGTATCCGAATACACATACATACACGCACACACATACATCCATTTTTTCTAAGGTATGCCAAAATATTCAGAAACCTTTGAAACGTCGAGAAATGCAAAAATTTTCATTTTCGATTTTTTTGCTATTACTATAACTTGCCCTACGGGAAGTTAAAAAAAACTCTTTCCCTTTATTTAGAAAAAAATTCTTGTAAAAACAATATGCAATCATAAAAACGGAAAGTTGACCAATAGCGTTATCACGGTATGTGATAATTGTGCCATTTTCCTTATACACACGGAAGTGTGCATAAAACGCGCGAGGGGTTAAATTACACATTTGAATTATACAAGTATTTTGTTTTATTCAGAACCTGTTAACTTCCAGAACCTAAACTAATAAGTTTTTTAAGTTCACTAACGCAACGATATAAAAATGTAATTTTACACATATTAACGGATTAACGATTAACGTTAACTTGCGTTAATTCTTCCGAAATGTAACGCTTTAACGTTTAACGAAGTTAACTTTTTTTGTAGCGGATTAACGATTAACGAAGTTAACTATTTGATTAACGGTGCCCAGCTATGTATATATATATATATATATATATATATATATATATATATATATATAAATATATACCAGTGAAAGATGAATACATTTACGGAGCACCGCAAAGGACAGGATGTAACTCGAGTTTGGAATCATTTTTTGATTGAAAAAGACGGACAAAGAAAAATATATATTTTTTTACTGACACGTTTTTTGTTTCTATCTACTTCTACTCCTTATGTAATAAATAAATAATATGTACTCATTTCAGGACAATATTTGTTAGATTTCATATATTATTTGTTAATATGTCAATATAACAACTGAAGTAAGTAAAAATATAACTATTTAATTTTATACCGGTATTCAGATTTTTGTACGGTATTGGAAGCCCTAACAACAAGTAAAAAATAAATATTAAAAAATTTAATTATAAATATACATTTCAGCAATATTTCTCATAATCCATAAAAAAAACATTTTGACAGATTTACTATAAAAAGAGCAAAAATAAGTACTTGATCATTTTTTCAATGAATTGTAAATTTTTTTCCCCTAAAATTTTGTATATTTTTGAAAGTTTTAAATTTAAAGTAGTTTTCGATTTTTTTGAAAATGTTTTTTTTTAAATTTAAAAAAAAAATGATATTTTGAAAATATTGTATTATGTTTTTTTTTTAAGTATATGTTTTGGAAATTTTGAAATTTTTTGAACTTTGAGAGGCCCTCTCTTAAAAAAATGTACTAAAATGCGTTGGCAAGTTTCATCAAAAGTTATTTCATCAGGATTGTAAACTGGTAAAATACTTGATAATTGTATTATTGAAAAATTCTACAGTCGGTCAAGTAAGAGCGTGGCCGTGTTAATTTATAAAAATAATTATTTTATGAAACTTTAATATTTATATATGCATTGTATACGTTACAAGCAATAATGCAATTTGGTCAATATCTGTCCAGTCACCACCGGCGTCGACAATTGGCTGGCATCTCCGACGCCTGCTTTTTACTAATTTAACGGATTATTCTAGTCTGACGGCTCGTATTTTAATTTACCGGCTCGATTAGGGCAGTACGTGCTCATATAGAACTTTTATCAGTAAAAAATGGAATTTTCAAAATCTCTATCAATATTTTCATGTGCCCAAGCGGAAAAGAAGCACATGTTTTTCAGTCGTCAGAGGCTTCCCCGTTGTGTTGCGCCATTTCAGATCATGAATACGAAGAAAGGTTCAGATAGTTTTGTAGATATTACTAAACATTTTGCCATTAATTTTGCTCGTTCTTGCTGCAGTGTTAAAGCAGGATGCCGCAAAAACACATTTACTGTTCTTTTTTCTTCTTTTTTATTTGAACCACGTTCCGATAAATCATCGACATTTTTAGCAACTTTATATAGGTGTATCGAATTCTGTACAAATGCCTTCAACTTTCTCATATGTTTAGACAATTGGGGACCTTTTGGGTGGATGCAAAAGGGCGCAGCCTCGTAGCGCGACGCGTAACTTAGCACTCATGGCGTTTAACGTGATTTTTTCTCAAAAGATCAACGACAACTAAACCTTTGTTGACAATGCATCAAGGACAAAGCTTCACTTTATTGGCTCACGAAAGAATTAGACCGAAATCTTTCATTAACTGTCGTTAAAGTCGGCCACGCTCTTACTTGACCGACTGTAAGTATAAAAACAAAAACCTAAAACGACAGAAATGTTTGATATCTGAACTATATATATGGGTCATTCGTTTACAAACCGCTCGGATTTTAGGGAAAACTAGTAGTGTGGAAGTCATGAAGTATGAAGAATCTTGTCTCATTTCTAAAAATTATATAAACTGAATTGCAAAGTTAAAATTATTTTAGCTAGAACTGAGATCAAAATCCAAAATATTTTCGATATTCAAAAAAAAAAATGTTTGAAAATTAAAAAATAAAAATGAATTTTGAAATTAAAAAAAGAGAAACCGATTATACCTAAAGGGTATGGGCGTGTTTCCATACAGAATTGGCCCCACCCTGGTATTTAAATAATTTTGATGCCATTTTATGGGTATTTTCGAGAAAATCCGATATACCAAATTTCAAATCCGTAGCTCATCATTTGGCCGAGATATCATTGAAAATGTGTGAAAGTGGCCCCTTTTTTCAAAGTCGTTTTTTGTCGCAACGGTGAAAGATATCAACAAACCAATAACGGGATTATATTTATATCGATGTCTACTATATTTGTAATAACAAATATTGTTTAATAATTATTTGTTAGTGCATGAAAAAGTGAAAATAATTTTTTGTTTTGAATTTTCGGGTAGTGCGGTTGTTTGGACTAATTTTTAATTAGCATCATTAAAAAGGGTATTCAATTTTCTTTTATTGTCCAAAATTCTGTTTTATTTCATGTGGTAGAACACATCCAAAAGTAGAAAAAACCTGAGCAAATTCTGCATATGGAACATTTCTTTGTAAAATATTTTTAATTAATTTTAAAATTATTTAAATACCAGGGTGGGGCCCATACCCTTTTAACAATTATATTCAAATTTAATTGACACATTTAAAGTTTCAAGATTTTGATATATTATACTACGCCTTCCGGTGGTGTCGGAAGCAAATTTTTGATGGGTTAGCTCGTGTTTTTTTTTTACAATATTTAATACAGTATCATTACTTGAGATCGATGGGTGGGCCCAGCCCACACGGTTCCGACGCCACTGACGCCTTCCATTAATTCAGTAATTTTTGAATTACGAAGCAAAATCCAAAAATTCGTTTTTGAATTATATTGTTATGTGCCCAACAAATTGACTGAGATTGTATGGTATTTAGTTCCCTAATTTGTATGGTACCTAGTTCCCTATCAAAAGCTGTTGTATCTTTAGAATTTAATATCCAATCTTCCTATTTCTTTGCAAAAATTGCTCTTTATGAAAACTGTTTATCAACTATATACTGTTTGTGCGCATCAGTAAATATTCAAACAATGGAAAATTGGGAGGAGTAGAATAAATTGTTTTTTTTAAACAAAATTTTTTGTCAAGTTCTGAAAAATATGAATTAAAATTCAGTACAAAAAACACTCACTGGCTGAAAGAAGCAGTGAAAAATTATTTTATTATATTCAAAATAAAAAAAAGATCTCAACATTGAAAAAAATGTTAGGGCAGGCCAATAAAAATAAATTGTTTTATAAAGTAACATTCAAGCATTTTCATAAACTCAAAAAAAAATTTAACTAAAATTTTAAAAGCATTAAAAAAAAACTAAAACAAAAAGTTGACCCCAAAATAAAAAAGTATTAGGTTAAGACAACCCTTAATAATAATAAATTGTATTTTAAAGTAAAATTTAATCTTTTTCTTCAAGCTCAAAAATTTGAACTAAAATTATGTCAAAAATATTCAATGCCTGAACGCGAAATGAAAATTCATTCAATTACTGAAATGGCTATAAAAAAATAAATTTAGGGTTGCATGTATTATTTAATACCACATTATAAAAAATTAAAAAAAAACTAAGAGTTGTTGAATCCAGGATTAATTTATGGTATCAGAAGTGAACTCAAGGGTCTACTATTAACCTGAGCTGAGTATATGAGCAATTATATAAGCATTTACACAGCTTAAACTGGTATTTATGGAATTTAGAAATATTACTAATTTTTTTTTATGACTTTACCTCTATTATGTTATTCATTTGGGGAATCAATCTGTCCATGCGAACTTCCAATAACATCACAAGGGCTCTGCAGACATTTTTTCTTACCTCAGGATCTTCATCAGAAGCCAAGTGAAAAAGACTCTAAAAATAAGTATCTAATTCAAGTATTGCATTGAAACAAACACATGAGGTCAAAAAATATTAGTACATACCTCTATAAAATCATCTATGTGTAACATCAACGCTTGAGCTCTACCAATAATAAATTGATTAACACAAGCTATTGCATGAGAACGTATTTTTGAGCTTGTATGTCTAAAAAATTGAAGAAATTTTGGAATGAGGACATTTAAAGGTCTATTTAGTGCATCACTATCTAAAAATTCAGCTGAATCTTCACATATCTTTTGTAAAGCTCCAAATGCACCCTGTAATTATAATAAACATAAATTATGTTTCTTTATTAAAATTGACTTAATTTCATACTTAATTAAGTATGCCAAAAAGGCCTTTCGAATATTAATGAACCAAACAAAAAATTGAATAATTTAAATCAGACAGAGTAATTATATCGAAAAGTCTCAATAATTACTAAACAACTGTCAAAGGTAGAAATAGTATATGAACATTCCGAAGAAACACTTTGTTTTCACAAAAAAATCCGACTTGCTAATTGTATGTTTCATCGTTAAAAACATCCTTATTCATTTGAGATCAAATGTGTATGTATAAAGTATAAAGATGTGTATTTGAAGTTTGTGTTTGTATATAATATATAAGAGCGATTTTTCACCTTTCGTGAACGTTTTCATAAAAGCTGTTGAACTGATTTTAAAAAATTAAAGGCTATTCAATGTAACTCAATGAGAACTAGAATTTATTAACAGTGATTAACAATCGGCCGAGCCGTTTCTTTGTAATTACACAAAAGTAAAATTTTTCGTCCAGGTTTTAGCCAAAAATCCAATTTTAGCCAATTGATTGATTGTTAAAATATTTTTTCGATGATTTTTATGAAACTGTTTTTGAAGAATATCGTGGAATTAATTTTAAAAACCACCAAAGTATTGAAATGAGCTAAAATGACAATATTTATGAGTGATGCCTAAGAAGAACTCCAATGAGAACTTCTCAGTTTTACAATTATTATGATATATTAGACCTAATCTAAGACTAAGTCTAAGGGCCATTGTCGTTTCAACCTATGTTGAGTTTCATGAGAAACAACTAAACTGATTTAAAAAAGTTGAATAACATTCGATGAAACTAGATAATGATTAGCGATGATTAGTTTTACAAGACGATCAGTCTAACCATTTCCTTTTTCTAAACAAACAGTTAAAATTTGGAACTAGAATTTAGGAAATCAATGTTATGCTCAGGCATTAATATGCTCTGAAAGCATTGTTCTATACCGATTTTTATTTTTTGAACTATTTCTATGTTGAGAGTTTCTATGTTGAGAGATTCTTTTGTGTAAATTTTGGCTAGTTTCGCCAATGTAATGTTAATACCCTTCAACATAACATTGATTTTCTAAACACGAGTATTTTACATTTTGCAACCAATATATTCAAAAGAAGATTTAGTGAAGGTTTTCTAATATCGTTAAGCAATAAAGCAATCAACAAGAGACTGGACAATTATTCACTCCGCAATGATTACAAAATGTATGCGTTTTAAATAAATTTCTAAAAATTTTCATACTATTTTTTATCAATGTAACACCCAACTTATATATGTATATACACCTAAGTCTGTTTTTACACGGTGGATTGGTTCCAGAAGAAGCCGTGTAAAAAAAACGTGTAAAAAAAGACATTGATCTTATACAAAAATGGGTGATTTGTTCCTAATCTCTAAAACCTATTAAAATTAGTGAAAAACAAGAATTTTCAAGAACAAGAATTCATGTTTATTTTAATAATAATTCCCCTAAATTAGTGCTATTCACATTTGCTTTGACCAGTAAAAATTGTTTGTACGCGCTAAAGTGGAATTCACTTAAATCTTTAAGCTAGTGTTCGCAAACTATCGATACTATCGATGGTTTCAGACATTTTTCTTTCATAAATACTTTTTTGTGATATGAACATACTTCGCTAAAATTAAATTTGACAAAAAAATAAGTACATAAAATTTCAAATCGTGCTAAATGGAATAAAATCGTGTAAAAAAATTAAAAAAATTCAATTTTCAAACCGTGTTATATCAAAACCGTGTACAAAAAGACCGTGTAAAAACAGACTTAGGTATATATATATATGTATATATATATATATATATATATATATATATATATTTAAATAGTCTTGAATTTGATGTTGATATATATGTTTAATTTGAGTTTAAAATTCGGGCTTAACATCAATAAAAATAGTATGAGAGTTTTTTAAAAGTTTATTTATTTAAAATCCATACGTTTCGGCTAGCATCTTAGCCATCAGTGGTAATCAAATCTTATATATAAAAATGGATCGCAAAATGTGTTGGTAAGCGCATAACTCAATAACGCCTGGACCAATTTGGCCAATTCTTTTTTTAAAATGTTCGTTGAAGTCCAAGGATGGTTGTTACGGCGAGAAAAAATCGAATAATTGCTAGGAAAACCCTAAAAACAACCCTTTTCTTTTTTAATCGAGTAGGCAACGAACTTTGTAGAAAAAACAATGTTCTATGTCATGACATTTTGTGTAGTTTTTGATAATCTAATTTTTAATATATAAGGTTGTCAAATATCTCCCTTCCGCTTTTTTGCTCTAAGACAAAAGATATATTTGACAACCTAATATTTATACAGACATAGAAATCTCTTTCCATTAATTAACGAGCTATATTGGCAGCCAAACACATTGATGTAAATGAATTAAATTTCAAAATTCAAGAACAAATTACAGGCGAATCAGTTGATTCGGCAACTAACCAAGACGATCCACCGAAGTTTTTAAACTCGCTGGATTTGGTAGGATTGTCACCTCACAATCTTCAATTAAAGGTTGGATCGGCAATTATAATGTTGCGAAATATCGACCAACCGCGCCTTTGCAAGGGCACAAGGTTAGCGATAAAAAAAACTACCAAACAACGTGATGGAAGCAACTATATTGAAAGGATAGTATCATAGATAAACAAGTATAACGCAACGTGCATCCCAATGATTCCGACTAAGGTGCCATTTGAGATTAAACGACTACAGTTTCCAGTGCGTTTATGGTATCATTAAGTGTTTTTGGTATTAATTTGGAAAACCCATGTTTCTCACATGGAAAATTGTACGTTGTCTGTTCCCATATAGGAAAACCATCAGATTTGTTTGTCTATGCGCCAGGAAATCAAACAAAAAACATCGTTGATCACAAAGCACTACAATGAAAATTGAACTGATTTTTGAAGTATGGTTTACATGATTAAAATTACTTACTTTTAAATGCTTATAGTGTTTTATTTAATTATTTTTAATTCACGCCGAATTATTACCAGCGTGACGGTTCTGTTCAGGGTAATTTTTTGCAAAGAATAGAAAAAAGGTGGAAATAAAACACCGCCACATTGCACATTTTTTTGACAGGACAAAGTCTGTCGGGTCGGCTAGTTAACTATAAAAATTGAAATTAAATAAGTTATATTTAAGAAATTTCATAGAAAAACAATAATAATAATAATAATAATAATAATAATAAAACACAATTTTCTATCCTAATATAGCATATGAAACCATTATTAATCCATGGTATGAGCATGTGCACATTGATAAGATATATATTTTTTAACATCACAAATATTAAAACACACTAATAACCATGATAATTTAACAAGTTATCAAAACTATGTATTTACTCTTCGGAGTTTAAGATAGAAATGTCACATTTTTTCTTAAAGCAGTTTTTAGCATGTGTTCAAATTTTACGGGAAATTTAAAAAGCGATGGGATTTTCACATTTTTTAAGAAACTTTGACACGCTATTAAGAAACCACGTGTTTGTTTTGTTCAGGGCCGTATTGTCAAAGCGTTTGTTTATGACCCTGTCATTATGCAATTGTAAAAACAACCCCTCAGCAAATCTTCTTTTAATTAGGTTCTCTTCAAAATGTAAATTTTATTCAAAATAAAATTTTAGGGTTGAAAAAATCTATATTATGGTTTAAATTTTTAATATGCTCAGTTAACATAGTTTTAAATTGCTTCGGATTTTTTGAGTTGTTTTTATGTTGATGAAGGTGTTTACTCAGGTTTTGGCTAGTTTCTCCAATATAAAAGAGTTCGCAATTAGAGCAATTAATCTGATATACCAAGTTCCTGAGGCAGTCAAAATTAAATTTAGATTTCATTTGTGTAAAAATTGAGCTAAGGTTTGTATCACAATTACATACCAACAAAATGCCACACTGTTGAAATAGTTTTTTCCACGAGAAATATAAATCTTTTATGTACGGTAGGCAAATGACACCAGTATATGACTGCAAGTCTAAGTGGTTTTTATGATCTATGATATATATATATATACGATATATATATATATATATATATATATATATATATATAAGCAATTACCTCACAAATATTATAATCATTGGAATCTAGCATTTGACATAAGGCTGGTAAAAGTTCAGGCCATGCACCTAGTTCTCCTTTACTGGCAATAGTTGTGATAAGTATTCCGACTGTTGCCCTTATGAGAGGTGATGGATCACCCACGGCTTGTAAACATTCTTGTTTAATAAATTCTGCGACATCGGGTAAGAATTTATGAAAATGTGCCTGCACAAGTAAGATAGTTTCAGAAGTATTAACACAAATATTTTTGTTAGTTAACTACTTTAAATATTTTTTGTTTTGCACTTACTCTGACATTATTTTTGAGTATTAATCCGCTTAAAGATCTTGTGGATTCATTTTCTGCAGTTAATTTAGTTAGCACAAATATTAAATAATTATTGAAATCTGGATATGTGTTCAACTCTTCAAGTTTCTGTAATAGCTGCTAAGGACTATACATCACTAATAGTATTTGCTATATACTTAAAAAAACATTGGAAAAAGCTTTTAAAAATATATTAAACAAGTGTAGTTTTAAAATACCTATGTTGACATATAAAAAGGATACATGCTGCACTTCTCTTTGAACTTCAGTTATAGGTGATTGTGAAGCTTTTAGTAATTTTAGAATTTGTTCCAAACCTTCCTCTTGAGGTTTCCAAGCCATTTTCATTTTATTTTAAAATATTTTACAAATCTCTTAGATGGTAAATGTTATGTTGCATATGTCGGCGTTCGATGGCCACAAGACCTGTATAAATATTACGCCGTATCTTTGTAGTTATATATCTTGTTCTGTGGTATTTTGCGCGAAAAATGATTTGTACATTGAAGTCATAAAATATAAGGAAGGTATGCAAAACAAATATAAACTGAAACCAAATTTATGTACTAAAATTTATAAAAATCATATATTAAAATTTATTATTACGGATAATTTCAAAGAAGAGTTGCTAAACTTTATATTATATCTACTAAAGCACTTATACACATGACATTATTAGAATTTGGGAATCCATAGGTGAATTTATGCTCCTATCAGAGAGTAGATATAACTGTCATCCTATATGTCGCTAGCGTTTCGAGTGAAGTTGACAGAAACAAACTTTCTCATGAAACAAGCACTCTTCCATAGATAAAAGAACAGTATATAGATCGCTCCAGGGCCTTTTCACTTAGAACAAAATCCTCGTTCAGAAGGAATACTTAGGGGTCCATTCGTAGTCGCAGATTTGGCGCTAGTGAGCCGATGAAAAAGTATTTTCAAATATTTTATGTCGGTTACTAAGAAACGTCAGTGTCACTTTTGTGTAAGTTTACAAAATGGCGATTCTTGTTCGTTTGTGTTTGTATATTTGTTAATAAAGATTTCATCAGGAATTGCTCTCAAATGCATAGCCCTTTGACAATATGAATAGAACAGCTTCAAACTCATATGGAGGACATAATTACTACATTACTACGTAGTGCATTGACATATTAGTCTAATCATAATACACTTTAAGGAAAGAGGTCAGTTCTAGGAAATTGTGTAAAGGTGCGTCTACACCTAACGAACAAACATAAACGAACGTACCAGAACGAACGGCAACAGCATAGTGTGGCGCCACGACGATCACGAACGAACATAAACAAACATGGCGAGCAATGTTCCGCAACTTGTCGGTACATCAAAGGGAATTGTTCGTTCATGTTGGTACTCGTATTTGCAGTGTGGACGTCTCAACGAACGCAAACGAACATTTTTGTTTTATTAATTTTTAAAATTTAATAATAATTTTTTAATAATTTAATAACAATTTTAATAATTTAATAATATTTACTTTTAATTATTGTGTACAGTTTGAAAATTTTAATAATATTTACTTTTAATTATTGTTTACAGTTTGAAAGTTTTGAATAAATTATGGAATGGTCGAATGACGTAATTTTATCATTCATAAATGAAATAGAAAAGTTTCGTATAATATGGGAGACTAAAGACCCTTTTTATAAAATTATTAGAAAAAAAACGACTCAAAATATAAATATTAAATACAAAAACTGAGTGAAATTAATTGAATAATTTATTTACTGTATATTTACAAAATATACACGAACAAAAATCACACAAAAACCAGTGAAAATGCCGTATGATTAAAGCTTACATCCATATCAATAATAAAACTGACGTTTCACGAAACATCTACGAACAACGAAAATTCAAGCGCTCACTGCTTTTAAGCGCTTGTTCAAGTTCGTTTTGAATTGTTCGCGTTCGTTCGTTTTTCTATGTATTTTCTTATTCGACATGTTCGTTCGTGTTTGTTCGTTAGGTGTGGACGCACCTTAAGAAATCAATCTACAAGAAAGACATAATACACAAATAAAAAACTGTTCCAGCTGTTTAAAATTGGACTACGACTTCACACGGATCTGAATATACTTGGGAGAAAATGAATTGCTTAAGAATGTCAAATTTTGCACGGGATGATTATTAGTTAATGAGAGTTAAGAATGACAGACGATGTAATGAACTAACACTATATGCATTATTCACTAAATTGCAATAAATATATATATTAATAAGTAGAAAAGAGTGTCGAAGTTATTCCAGTAGATTAGGTGTGATATATATTATATATAAACCGGTGTATTGCAGTGTATTTGTTGATTTATATTTCGATTTGATTGTAATTTATTATAATATAATATTATCTAGTATATTTTTGTTATTATTGTATTATTACAAAACATAATAGAATTGTAATACCAAATTTAGTTTCAAATACCCGATTACTAAAATTCATTAATTTTTATTTCAAATTTTGCGCCATTAATTTGAATGACAAAAGCAGCGCCATCACGTCGAGCGGAGGACCCTTTAAGTATTCCTTCTGAACGTAAAAATCGGGCGAGAGAAGCGTCTATATGAACACGGGGTATTCTAATATTGTCTAGGGATCGCTCTCTCGCACGCACCATATTTCGTTGCCACGTTTTTCCGATCAAATCTGTCAATCATCACTCTTCATAGCATAGATGAAACAAGTATATAGATACTTGTTGTACTACGATTGAATCATAGATAAAAGAAGAGTATATAGATCGCTCTCTCGGGCCATATTTCGTTGCCACATTCCTGTGTTAGTTGAAACCCCGCGCTACAGATGGCACTAGTCGCCTGAACGGGTGCGTATAAAAAATACTATAGAAATGAACCAAAATTATATGGACCGTTTTAATTCAAAATTTAAAAAAAGAAAAATTGAAAAAAAAAAATTTGAAGCATTTATAGATGTTGGGTCTATATATAATTTATATTTATAATTAAAAGAACTGAATAACGTGTATATAAGTTTAATTTATAATAACAAAACAAGTATAAAGCATCTCACTGATATAAAGTGTATTTAGGTTAGGTTTTATATCTTCACTCTTCCAAGGGTTGATGCACAAGAGGGTGAGACTGCATTTTTCGCATTCCTCGAGCCCACGCAAGTGTTGCACGATGCGCCGTCGCCAACTTGACAGTTTGCGACGTTCTTCACACGCAACGTGTCTATGAAGTTGGTATTGGCGTTTCTAGTTGTTACTCTCACCGCTAGGTGTCAGGAGACGCCATAGCACTCCCCCCAAGATGAAAGCAAGCTATCTGTCAGAATAGAAATAAGGTTAAATGTGTGTTGTCAAATATTGAACGCAACTTTCTTTTTGGCTGTTTTCTTTGTAGGTTCCTTTGATGACTCCCAGGGATGTGTATGAAGTGGTTGAGAAAATGATCCGTAATCTGCATCTGTTTTATTTATATATGCTGGTTTTAGCCTTTCAACGGCGAAGTTCTTTGCGGCCCCATTAACGCGAAGTTTGTAAATCCTATCAGAAACTCGCTCAAGTATTTCATAGGGTCCTCTGTAAGGTGGTTCCAAGGGCTTTCGTACATGATCTGCTCTGAGGAATACATGTGTGCATGTGCCCATATCTTTCAAAATGAAAATCTTGGATTTGTTGTGGTGGGCTGTTGGAGTTGGTTTCAATGCACACATGATTCGGCGATGATTCTCTAGAAAGACCTGTGGATTCTGTGAGTTATTAGATGTATTGAAAAAATCACCTGGAAGTCTCAATGTGGTTCCGTAAACCATCTCTGCTGCTGATGTCTTGATGTCTTCTTTGAATGAATTCCGTAGACCAAGTAGTACGTAGGGTAGTGTCTTGATCCACGGTTCAGAAGAACACATCAGTGCAGCTTTTAGGGTTCTGTGCCAACGTTCTACTAATCCATTTGCTTGAGGGTGGTATGCTGTCGTACGTACTTTCTTTGCACCAACTGCCTGTGCCAAGGACTTGAAGAGAGATGACTCAAACTGCGTGCCTTGGTCTGATGTTATTGTATTTGGTGTACCAAATCTGGAAATCCAGCACGTAAACAATGCCTGCGTGACTGTCTCAGCTGTGATGTCTCTCAGTGGGATGGCTTCCGGCCATCTTGTAAATCTGTCAATAATTGTTAAGCAGTAAGGAAAATCATTAGTATTGGGTAAGGAAATTATGTCAATATGAATATGAGAGAATCTTTCATCAGGAATAGGGATGTGCAAAGGATTGAAATGATTATGTTTATGGATTTTGGACATTGACGAGTCCAAGTAGCAACATCCTTTCCAATTCCAGGCCAAACATACCGGCTGCGTACTTCCCTGGATGTAGTCCTGATGCTTGGATGAGAAATACCATGGACTACGTCGAATGCAGTTTTGCGGAGGCTCTGTGGGAGATAAGGTTTAACAAAGTTTGACTCAATTATACAATAGATCGGAAAACCATCCAATGTTAATTTGTGTAGTTTGAGAGAAGTTTCTCCACCAAGCAGCTCCTGCATTTCTGGATCCAAGCTTTGCTCTATACATATTTGTTCAGCTGACAGTCTGGTAGGCATTTCAATAGTGTTAATTCTTGATAATGTATCTGCCAGTACATTTTCTTCACCTTTCACATACACAATTTCAGCAGAGAACTGGGATATGTATTCCAATTGCCGGCGCTGCCTGTCTGACGCCTTTTCAGGTCTCTGCTGAAATGCATATGTGATGGGTTTGTGGTCTGTCTTGATAATGAAATGCCTACCTTCCAGCAGGTATTCAAAATATTTTATGGCCGCAAAGATGCCTAGAAGCTCTGGTCATATGTTGAATACCTCTGTTCCGTGGATGTGAGCTTTCTGGAGTAGAAACCTATAGGGTGCCATGCACCATTTTCTTCCTGCTCCAGAGTGGCTCCAATGGCTGTTGTTGACGCATCTGTTACTAAACATATATTTGTTGCAGCAGCTGGATAATGAAGTAAAGCGGCGTTTGCAAGAGCATTCTTTACGTCCTCAAAGGCTTGCAGAGATTCTGGGTTCCAAATGACAGGTGTTTTATCCTTCTTGACTGAACTACGTAGGTAACTGTTCAGCGGTGCTTGCAGTTTGGCTGCTTTTGGGACTGATTTCCTGTAATAATTCAGCATTCCCAGAAACCTACGCAGTTCCAGAACTGTTGTTGGCTGTGGGAAGTTCAAAATCTTGTCCACCCGGTCTGTAGCTGGAGAATAGCCTTTCTCACTGAGCTTGTAACCCAGAAAATCTACTTGGGACTTGCCTAGGACGCATTTGTTGGTGTTGATGGTTAGAGAATGTTCTTGCAAACGCTCAAAAACTATCTGCAGGTGGCGATGGTGTTGCTCCATGTTCTCAGACATAACCAGAATATCATCCACATATATAAACACAAAGTCAATGTCTTGGAATATGTGGTTTATGTAGCGCTGGAATGTCTGAGTGGCATTCTTCAGTCCAAAAGGCATGCAGAGGTACTCATATAATCCCCATGGAGTTATGATGGCAGTCTTCTGTATGTCCTCTTCATGCATCGGCACCTGATGATACGCTTTTGCAAGATCTATTGTTGAAAAAATTGTTTTATTGTGCAGGTTTGTAAAAACTTGGAGGATATTT